TGTGCAGAGAACTGGAATTGGAAAATAAAGATGGAAGAATTCACTTAGCATTTCTCAAGCTGAAAGAATTGAAAAAGAAATTCAAGCCTGGAGTTGAAATACTGAGATACAATCCCTCTCCCTCCCCCTCTCCATCTATTTGCTTCATTGTTTTTGTTTCTCTGGAGAACCCAGCCCAAAAGATAATACTCAACTAAAATGATTTTTAATTCCTTATTGGGTAAATTCAGTACGAGTTCTTCCACTGAAAGATTTTCTGTTTCTTTTTTTAAAAAATTTTATTATTTTAATGAACATTTACAGAGATTTTGGATTTTCATTCATTCATTGTTGCACTATTTTCTCTACCCCCCCCAGTTCTTTTCTCTCTTTTTTTCCCCCTTGAAAGTCTGTTTTAATTGTCTCATTGCCTCAGTGCTTGTCAAAACCAGTTCTGATTAATCTCTTTTATCAGTGTGTCCGTTGCCATTCCCTATCACTCCTCCCTGAGAGAGATTTCACCCTGTTTCATAAGGAAAAGGGAATGGCATATTCTCTTAGCTACTTCCTGCTGAAAATGGACGCTGTAGGTTTCAGGGTGAAGATCTTCTCTCACTACTCTAAAAGGTCCCTTTGGCAATAGGAAACACGTAGACAGACTATTGTGGAGATTGATTTTGGAATTAAGATGCACTGTTGTCAATTGTGCTTAGCCATACATGTTCATATCCTTGAAGATGCATCATGAAACTGTTGTAGCCTAGAAGACACAAATTTAAATAACAAGTTAAAAGTACATGAGTAAAAAATTAAAAGCAATAATATTCCAAGTAGAGGTTCTAACAGTGGCACAAATCAAGTTACAGAGGGAAGGTAGTTTTTAAAATAAAAGGCTTATTGGCTAGCACTTCGTCTATTATAGTATAAAGGTTAGGAACCACAAGATGAAGAGGCTCAACTATGTCATATATTGTTCTTAAGTCCTGGACCAAATTCCATCTACCACTGGGTTGTTTTACAGCTCGCATACAAGGCAGAGGTGAAGTAAGGAACTGCTTGTGAGATTTTCCATCAATTCCAAAAACTAAGAAATAGTGAGAAGAGTTGGGACCTCAGAAAACTTTTAGGACCATGTAATAGGCTCTTGTGTCCAGGAGAAAATGAATATACTTACCAGTAATGTTAATGCTCACCCATGGCTCTTCTGGGAGGATCTAAATTGTTGAAGCGTCCTCCTTTGTTTCCAGCTGGGAGCTGGGGCCCGTCAGTCCTGTCAGCCATGAGGACTTGATGTGGGCCACCCTTGGCCAAGTGTCCTTCAGATCCACACTTAAAGCAAGGAAGTGGGAGCTTCCTTTCTACTCCCTTGCCTATCTATGGCTCTCGTCTGTGACACTGCCTACTGAAGTGGCCCAGCTTTCCACAGTGCAAGCAATTCTGACGTCCTTTATTACCTTTGGGTGGCATTGTTTATGAGTAAGACTTCCTTATCCTGACACAGGCCCTAAACTGGCAGCAATAGCTGCCCCAATAAGTTTGGCCATTCTCTGGTCTTTTCTCTTCCCTCTAGATCCTAGTTGTTAAAAGAGGGAAAAATGTAAACAAATAATTTTGAACAATACAATCTTTTACGTTTAAGGCTAGAAGTATTAACAATATGATCATTTCCAATCCAGAGATACATGTTCCAATGCAGTTTCTATTTTCCAAAAATGGTTTTGGTAAGAATAATATTGTAAATGTGGATACAGTTCCACTATTCCTCCTCTAGGCCATGATGTAGTGTTATTAGCATGAGCCGTTATAAATCCATTGCCTTCCTTACTCTAACTTAAACTTTTTTAAATTAAAATTTATTATTAATTTCAGTAAAAATTTACAGAGGTTTTGGATTTCCATGCATTCATTGTTGCAAGATTTTCTGTTTTGGACAGATTTACTTGTTTGAATAATATTGCTGTTTGTGTGCATGCATAATTTGAATGTCTGTGACATTGAGGGGTTTTTTAAAAAATGTTTGCTTTTTTTAATTGTTGTTTGTTTTATGTAGCTAACTGATTATGATGAGCTTCCTACTTGGCTCAATATTTTGGCAGCACTTGGTCTTTCATCTCCTGTCTTCTAGTGGATATGATAAAGGCAGAAATGTCTGCTCATTTCTCTGTTTACAGTTCTTGTAGAACAATTTAAGGCAAGCTCCTAATGATACTTTGGACATGTTGTGAGGAGAGACCGGTCCTTAGAGAGGGACATCATGCTTGGGAGGGTGGAGGGACAGCGCAGGAGAGGAAGGCCCTCTATGAGGTGGATTGATTCAGTGACTGGGATAATTGGGATGGGAGTGTCAGAGACAGTGTGATTGGCACAGGACAGAGCGGAGTTTAGGGCTGTTGTACATAGGATCGCTATGAGTCGCAAGCGACTCGACGGCACATAACAACAACAACAACAACCTAATGATAGTTGCAATCTGTTGTCAAACAGATGGTATCCCATCAATTCTTGGGACTTTATTTTTGCCAATGCCTTTAGGACAGTTTGAACGTCTTCCTTCATCACCATTGGCTTTTGATCGTGTTGACCAATTCTCTTCAGTAGAATGACTCTGTATATTACCTTATCCTCTTTTGTTTGGTTGTTGTTTTTTTTTTTAAATTATACTAGTTTTTTTAAAAAAGGGCTTCTGTCATGAAGTGGCACACGTCGGGCAACTCTATTGCTCTACGTGCGGAATCGACGTCAAGAGATTTCAGAAGTGTAATTTTTGTTTACTGGGCAGCTGGTGATTGTTGGTCCCGGTGTCCTTAACTAAATAAAAAATTAGTTTAAAAATTATACTAGTTTATTTATAAAATTTGAATACACTGTTTTTCAGAACAGATTCTTCCAATTTCCCTCAACCCTCCCATCA